TTATCTTAATTATCTCGCTCGATAACAAAATCCGGAAAGAACATACAAGAAAATAGGGTAAAACAAGATCCATTAGTGAAGAACGGTATGGTGAGAGATAGTGAGTGCTGCATGCTGTATATAGTGGCAAGTGGGATATTCATTACGTGTGTCTATTTAAGTTGCTTTCAGTTTGTTTATTTAAGTTTCGGTCGAATGAAGACCATGCGTGATTTATTTAAAGGTTGGTTGTCATATTAAAGATTTTTTTTTTTTATATATAGCTTTTTGGATATCTCCATATTTTTCTATATTGGTTTTCTCTCTTCTCTCTCTCTTTTCTCTCTCTCTCATCTCTCTCTCTCTCTCTCTCTCTCTCTCTCTCTCTCTCTCTCTCTCTCTCTCTCTCTCTCTCTCTCTCTCTCTCTAACCCATGCATAGTTTAGTAAAGCATACCAAATTGCCTTGCACCGTTCTCAAATCCGAATATCTGTACTCATTCAACAGCTGAGTCGATGCGAAGAACATCGAAACCAATAATTATTTTACCAACTCGAAAAAAAACATAGTAATGCTATACTATTATTATTATTGTGCAGGATCGAAAGAATTTTAGCGAAGTAATCGACGTAAACATTATTTGTTTTGGATGTGAACAAACGAAAGAGAATGAAACAAAAGCAAAAAATCAAGGAGTGAATGTTGTAGTATCGGGAGGTAGCTAATTACAAAGACAAATATTTTTTTTTTATCGTAACATCAGGTTCGTAATGACTATACATACACTGGGAAAACTAACCACGGACTGTCACACTATACATAGAAGTTCTAGGAGCTGTACACGATTCTTATATTCTCTTATCTGACATCTTTATCTTTGGTAATGGTCAACGGTTATAGGGAAATTCACCACAACAATGAGGAAAGTGAGGTAGCCGTGAGAGAGCAGACTTTCCACCTAATAAAACTGCAGACGTTTCAAAAGCAGCAAAGGAAACAAAGTACCGAAACGTCGACTCAGATTCTCTCTTTGCTGGGAATTTCTGTTGAGCCGTTTATTTTATATATATTTTTTTCTTCATGGGATTAAAAATACGGCTTTCTACATCGTAATATCACAACGTATCTGTGCATCCCCGTGTGTTAGCTATCGCATGTGAAAATATCCGATAGAGGAATGAGCGATGGAGAAGTGTTTTGCAGTTATAATAAGGTTCTATTGTACTTCGAGTATACGTCCTCGGAGACAAGCGTTTGTTAAGAGGTTGTCTTACGTAGATGTGGAAAGAGAGAGAGAGAGAGAGAGAGAGAGAGAGAGAGAGAGAGAGAGAGAGAGAGAGAGAGAGAGAGAGAGAGAGAGAGAGAGAGAGAGAGAGAGAGAGAGAGAAAGAGAAAGAGAAAGAGAGAGAGAGAGAGAGAGAGAGAGAGAAAGAGAAATAGAGAGAGAGAGAGAAAGAAAGAGAAATAGAGAGAGAGACACACACAGAGACAGAGAGAGTAAGTGAGACAGACAGAGAGAGAAATTAATTGCGAGAGAACTAATAGAGATGAATGAATGATAAAAATCACCGCCTAAAAAAAAAAAAAAAGTAGAACGGCTCGTGATATTTTCGACTAACAAACATCAATACGTCGGGAAAATGCCTAAAGCTAAACAGTCATTATCACTAATATAATATCACTTCACAGTCAAAGACGTTCTCAAAATCATCACATTCAGTATGTCAGTGAAATGTTGGAATACCTAAGCAGACCTTGTAGGAGTAGATTTTAATGAAATGATATATTAATAAAAGGTCCTAAATTTGGATATTTTTTCGAAAGAAAGGAAGGGAGAGCGGGGTCGTTGTTTGGGCTTTTATTCAAATGTATATATATATATATATATATATATATATATATATATATATATATATATATATATATATATATATATATATATATATATACATATATATATACATATGTATATATATATATATATATATATATATATATATATATATATATACATATATATATACATATATATATATATACATACATATATATACATATATACATATATATGTGTATATATATTTTTTTTCTTTCAAGTTTAGGGGGAAATGTGACTTCCTAAGAGAGAGCCGGCATTAAATTCTTATTGCTTAAATTCTAATTGATTTTTAAAAATTATTTTTCTTTCTTTTTTGAAAGAAGGAATGGAGGGGAAAGGAAGAGGAGGGGTCGTTGTTCAGACGTTCATTTTCTTTCTTTCTTTTATGTTATTTTCTCTACTTGTCTTCCGTGTTTACAAAGATCTCTTCGCGTAGAGACCGCCGGCACATAAAATAATAACAATAATAATAATAAATAATCAATCAATAAATAAATCGTATTGCTTTCTTTCCAATGAGATGAAAATTCCTGTGGGGGGAGAGAGTAGAAGAAGAAGGAAAGGAAGGAGAGGAGGGACGGAGGGAAAGGAGGGAAAGGAAGGAGGGATGGAATATATACATATATATATTTTTTGTTTTTT